CAGAGTCTGGGTAGAGGTCAGTGGGATTACTTCACATTCACTTCATTTGAACTGCGGGATAAACGGTGTTGATCCGTAAATGAGTTCAAGTGACCCACTGCTCCACTTTCAGACACGGGAACTGCTGGACAAAAGCCCCGCTGTGTGGAGTGGAGTCGCACCATCCCCACCGCTTCAGCCAAAACACACACTACACATCACAGAGGAGGGTTATCAGACAGACACAGTCATGTTTGTGGTGATGATGAAATGGGTTGAGATAATAACATTTTTCATTTTGACTGAAATTCAATACATCGAATCAAACACAAAATCCATCGACAACAAAGGCATCTGACAGGAAATAAAAGACGGAGGAGGTTGTGTTACCCCGAGTGACTCGCGTCTCTGACCTGTAATCTGGGTTTTCGGGTTTGGAGGTGATTGAATGAAATGGACTGATGTCAGGTTAGTAACTGGGACTACCACTCTATGTAAGGCTTGTGATAACAATTGCTCAACTTTACCTGGAAATGAACCATAGCTATCCAGAGCACAGCTGGAGACACAAACACACAGCAGATTTTTGGACAGTTTAAAGTTCAGCTATGAAATCATTTCTCACCAACTGTCAAACCTCTACTGAGATTATCCCTTCATTTATATTTTTATATTGTCAGAGAATGGAGGGTTTGCGGTCTGCAGTACACTGAAATCACCAGTAAGTGGCGACATAGAGCCAAGCAGTACAAGTAGGAACTACAGTACAGAGGTAGAGGCAGATTTTGTGTTTTGGGGATGTTTTATTGGGAACAGGGATCAAAGAAAATCACCTAGGATTAATTTCAGATTATTTTAAGACTTTAGAATCAAATATCTCACCTGGAGAAGGCTTCATCCAAACCATCTTCTATTTCCTGCAAGAAAAGCAATCAGTCCTTAACATTAACTCAGGGAAAAGCATGTAATATGTGTGTGGTGCTGGCACAAACAAGGGAAATTTAAAGCAAATCTTTCCAAAAGCTGGAGATCCAAACTGAGTCGGGAAAAATCCAGCTCTCAAACTGAGGATGGTCAACATTGGAGTATGAAAGAACGGTCATTTGTAAGAGATTCACAGTCAACACAGACACAAAGCGAGAGGACGGACTCACCCAGGCAAGATTGTTGTTGGACTCTGAGGTCTGTTTGTGGTTATCCAGCTGATCCTCTCCGATGTTTCCATTGGTCTCCACTGCCACATTCACACTCTTCTCCAAATCCAACAACATATCTGTAGCCACATCTAATAGAAAAGAGATGGAATGACAACTGATTGGTGTTATAATAACAGATCAGAGCAAGACACAGTGCAGCCTCCACACCAGGATGAAGTGACAGAGGGGGCAGTTAAAAATGATGATGGGGCAGATCATCGTGCCATGTCTGTTTCTGCATCTCTGTGGCAATATAATGTTAAAGCATGCAAAGGTTTTCCATGTCCTTTTATGTCTATAGCCATGAATAAATTGGTTTCACAGTTAGTTAGATTTTAGTTGAAATTGGTTACAATAAATTGTTTCACAAACTGTGCTGCATTGAGCTGTGTATTATCTGTGAAAGGCTAAATGCCAACGTCACAAACCTCCAGTTTCAAAAGCAAGAATTACATTCTCACAGGAACAGAGAGGCCAGACGTCTATTAAGCCTGTGTGTCTGCGGGAATATAACTCTTTGACCATGGGACTACAGGCGTAAAATAATTATTTTAACCAGTGAGGGCTGACTAATAAAAGCCTGAAGCACCACATACCCTCTACTGTGAAAAACAAAAAAGGCAGATGTGCCATGGAGATTTATTTCCCAGCTGATCACGTTCTGTGAACAGTACGTAGAACTAAAGCTGAAAACTTTAGGCCACACAACATGGCTTGT